TCTCTACAATAGGGCAGGAATGCTATTATGAATAATATTAATTGCTTGCATCATTGCTATAACCTTTATCAGGATGATGAAAACACATATACAAAATGAAGACATCCTTACTGCCAACCTGTTCAATTAACAAACAACATTGTATATTCAACAGTTAAAAATAGACACTGAAGAGCCAGGACATAAGAATGACCTAAATAGTAACACAGGAAACAGATTATTATGAAGGGAGTTCCTTATAGATGCATTATTGAAGAATGAAATAGTACTCAAGCACAAAGTATATGGAACAATAATGGTATCAACTAAAGTGCTCCAGTTTATAGACAAGTCTCCATTATATACTAAACAACCTGTGAAAAATGTTGCGTGATTCAGCAGCATATTTAAGCAGATGCCCAATTTAAAGCACTTGAGTAATCTAATAAACATCAGTGAGATTATGCATGTTTATTACCCTGCTAAACCAGGGCCTATATGAAAGTAGGTTATTAAGAGCTGAACAAACACCTGCATCAGATTCCACAGATCTGATTATCAGAACTCCTTACCTGCTAAGTATTTAATATTATCAAGTTTGTGCGATTCAAGCATTGTTTTCAACCCTGCAACTTCTGTGTCGATTTTCCTATCAGTTTGGGTCACGGCTCGATCCTGCTGTGCATGCTAAAACAAAGCAAGAGACCAAGTTATTTGAACAATTTGAATCCAAATAGTTAAAACTAGGTCTGTTCCTCCTCAATATTACATTTTTGGTTTGTATTTCATGCTTAAATTGAAGTACCTGTTAAAAACTAAGACCAAGTCCTTTTGGCCAATTCTGTAGCTAAACCTCTCTCTCTTCTGAAAAAAAAAATACCAACTGATATTAAACAGCAACATTAAATTAGCTGGAGTTGCCATAGCATACTGGAAATTAATTTGGCTAGATCCAGGGGAATGAGGATAAAACATATTGGTCTGCTGTACTGCTCTTTAAAATTGCTATAACAGGAGTTAGCAACATACAGCGTTGGGGAACTTCACATGCACACTGCATCCATGCTGCCTCTTCTCTCCATTATCCTTGACCCTCGCCTTCCAGCTGCAGTGTGGGTACAGCTAGAAGCTGCAGCTTAGAGGCAGAGAGGTGGAGAGAAGTGGTGGCAGTACAGATGCAGTTTGAAGCTCCCCAGCCCCAGTGCAACTCCCTGCTGGCTGGAAGCTGAACCCACAAGCAGAAGGAAGGGGAGGAAGAACAAAGTGGTGGTGGCAGCATTGGTGCAGCTCCCAGCTGTCTGTCTCAGCGTGGGTGTAGGAAAAGCCCTGCCCATGATGCATCACCAAAGCCACCTGGCCTGCATCAAGCTGGAGCTGGGTTGTTCCAGCCCATGGCTTATTAAAAGTTGCCAACCACTGGCTAATAACATCCATATAGATTTCTTAAAAGCAGTGATGTCTTGCCAATGTTTATAATTAACTTTAGATTCCATCATAAAACTTTATTTTCAAACTAAGGGCACTTTTACACGTGCTCGGGGGCATCAGGAGGCACTTTAATTAAATCAGCTCCCAGAGCCACTAAAAACACTGCAGCATCTTGTGTATCAGCGTCCCTGTGCTTCAAAATGGTGTCAGGAGCACTTGAACTTGAACTAAAGCTTGTTTGATGAGCTTGGGTTCAAGCACCCCTGCCATTATTTTGAAGTGTGGAGATGCTGATACGAGACGTGGGAGGCTGCTGGAGCATGGTAATTACCACACCAGCAAGTCTGCTCTGCCACGCTGTAATTACAGCGCATCAGAACAGCCTCCCAGCACATCTACAGGCCTCCTAAGGTATCTGCAGTTTGACTTTTAAAAACGTTACTCTAGTCAAACTTGACCTGTAGCTTTTTGTTCCTGCAGCCCTTAATCAAACTCCCAGCAAAAATCAAAAGGAATTCTGCCAGAATAAATACAATCTGGCCATATTTTAAATCTTCCCCAGAACTTTACATAGCACTAGCCTGTAATTGAGGATGCAGCATGAGCTTTCCCCTCTCTGCAACTGCCTACTTGTATTAACTTTGGATCTTGCTTCCAAAGCACTTGTATTTGTACACATTGCATAATATAGAAAGCTCACAGAAATATAGGAACTTCAAAGTTTTCTAGTCCATCCCCTTTGATGGAGGACTATGCATTACGTGGAGCAGGGGTCAGCAAGCTATGGTGTGTGGAGCCATTTAATCTGGCCTGTGGACATTAGGCTTTGGTAGCATTTGGTGGCAGGGGACTCTGGCAGCAGGTGATTTCTCCAGACGCTGCAGGGAGAAGCAGCAGTGGCAGCCGAGACCTAGCACCAGCTCACCCACACACCTCTAACCTGAGCTGGGTCATTTTGGCCCACAACCGGAGAAGGCTGCCAACTGCTGACCTACAGCAACCCTGGCAGATGTTTGTGCTGCCTGTTTTTAACTTGCAAGAATTGGAAGTTGACATGTGATTCCCCATTTTGTACTGTGCATTTGCTTTGGTTATTATTCATTTTGGACCATTTCTGGAATCCAGTGGGGTGATTTTGAATTCTAATCCCAGGCTGCAAATGCCAGATATAGAGATATTTCTTAGGAAAGTCGCCAAATTCACTTCGGCTCTGGTGGAATAAAGTCTAACCATAAATGGATTTGGTCTCAAAGGACATTTTAACACAATCCAAGTCACCAAACTGAAATGGCTTGGATAGCTGCCAAGTTGAAATGGCTGCAACTGTCGCTTTAGCCAGAAGATTTGGCCAGGCAGGACTTTCTGAAAAAATTTAGTCCTACGCAGGTAGAAGTAAGTACACAAGGTTCTTCACAATGATGTATCTGGTCTGAAGGAAGGAGGATATATACATCACCCTTTACATCTACAGCAGAAAGCAATAAAAGGATGTGCTGTTGCATACTGCAATGGCAGAAAATCTATGAGCTCAAGTGTTTGAGATGTGAACCCACAGTGAGAATGTGCATATAGACAAGCATTCCAAGGTGAACTGCATTTGTACTCCATCAAATTTCTCCCATGATATTACCTTAAAGGCCTGGATCACTTTGGACAAACTGATACAAGAGATATAAAATCTGTAGGACACTGTCAAGAGCTATTTTTCTGGTTTGATGAATCTGTATTTCAGGAATTAGATGATTTAATGAACATGGGAAACCTGAATGATTGCACTTTTCCTAGAATACCATAAAGTGGTAGATCTAGACATCTCTTATCTCAACAGTGCATAATTATTAACCTCTGAACACCCAAGGAGCTGGTCACAGATTAAAAGGCACTGTTCAAATAAAATGGTTATTCCTGATCTCAGAATTATTCTGGCTACCAGTGATGTTCACATATAGGAACACAAAGGTTATTCAAGATCTATGGAGCACTGAATATCTTGGGAACTGTTTCTGAAATCATACAACCTTAAGTCTCCATTCTGAAAGGAGCTCTGCACACTGAGGTTAAAGAGCAACAAGTCTAGAACCTGCTTAACACTGCTAAATCTCTGAATAGAAAAATAGCCTTTCTTTTCTCTGCGCCCCCCCCAATAAGGGGGACTGGAATACATGCTCAAGGAGTGGGCTACCAGAGCAAAGATGCAAACACAGGAAACACAAGCCATTTGGAATTGCTGGCTGGCTGAGGTACTAGGAGTTTCAAGCCTTCCTCAACATACTCTCCGACTCTCAGTGATACAGGTATCGTGTTGGAGGAAGACCTGTTTGCACAAGTTTATAGTATCAATATAACAAAATGTTATTACATAATTCAGCAATCAGTTCTTCAGTCCTTACCAATTCCACTATCTCTGACCTCATTTCCAGTAGTTTTTTTTCATTAAGTGAATACTGAAAGAAGAAACAAAATGGAGAACACGTACACACATGAATTACACTTTAGTTTCAGATTAGACTGTTTCCTAATTTTCCACATCCTTATGGTAATTCCTAATCAGAAAAATTCAGTGCGCTTGCCAACTATATTTAGACTTAGGATCATAAAATGGAAGGTTAAAGTTAAACGTTGAATAAATTGTGTGTACAATTTTATTCGGAGTTAATATTATCCACAATTTCATTTAGCTTAACTCCCTTGGAAAGCTTACTTCATCTTAAAAGTTAATTCAGATCAACTTTCCCAAGCGTCCCTATATAGACAAGACCTATTCTCCGAGCCCTTGAGTTCTTTAACTGAATTACCAGATCATATTAACAGCTTATGTTACACTTACTGCAGACATAAATATAGTTCAAGGTAGGAAAGAGTCTCGTGAGCAAAGAGGCCAACAAAACACATCCACCTTCACTTCTTATTTTTTAAAATATATGACAGCACACACCAAACTTAATTTACCGTATTTACTTGAATACAAGACAAAGTACCCACCCTCTCCCAATCAGCACGGGGAAAAAAGACCCTTGTCTTACATTTGTATACAAGGAAACCTCATTAAATACATCATCTATCATTAAACTGCTCCAAAAGGCAGCATGTGCTCAGTAATGGAAATCAACTAGGAAGCTGATAAAATGTAGCCAACAGTGAGTATGACTATAAAATACATGGCCCCTCTTGGGCAAACATACTGATGGAAACTTTTTTTTGTGCATGTGGCCCTTAAAAAAAAGGCAGTTGCTTCCCCAGGAGGGAACGAGCACCAGACCTGGAGATACTGCAATATCAAGCCAGCACTTGGAGACACTGAAGCAAGCTCTGACACCTTGCCCTGGTGCCAAAAAACGCTGAAAGGAACCTACCACAAGGCTAGATTAGTGTAGCCCATCTAAGTAAAATATGTGGTAGTGCCCATTGTGCTCAGTCCACCTCAATGCCAACTCTTTTTCAAGTCATGGCGAGCTACTACAATGCATACATTTCAACTTCCTCTTCACTTCCACAACTGAACTTTGCCTTTCTTTCCCATTTCCAATGATTCCTGTTTTTTCACCAGCCTTAAAGGTCTAGCAAACATCACCATATAGGGACCCAAACAGTACAACCAGGATCCCTGTTGCCTTCTCAGACTGTTGCATATGATGAATTAGTACAGGGGTGGGCAATTATTTCAGGCAGAGGGCCGCTTACTGAGTTTTGGCAACCCATCGAGGGCCACATGACAGGCAGTCAAGGGCGGATAAATATTAATTCTCTAAATTTTTTTAGGGGCCCCGCACACCAGATAGAATGGCCTGGTGGGCCGTATCTGGCCAGCGGGCCACATTTTGCCCACCCCTGAATTAGGACAAGCATAGAATCACAGAAAAATTAGGGCTGGAAGGGACCTCAGGTGGTTATCTAGTCCAATCCCCTGCTCAAAGCGGTACCACCCCCAACTAGATCATTCCAGCCAGGGCTCTATTGAGCCAGGTCTTAAAAACCTCAAAGGATGGATATTCTACCACCTCTCTGAGTAACCTGTTCCAGTGCTTCACAACTCCTCTTGTGAGAAAGTTTTTTCTAATATCCAACCTAAACCTCCCATGTTGCAATTTGAAAGAGATCACTTCCCCAACCAGGGAGTAAACCTGGAACCTTGATGTTATTACCATGCTCTAACCAACTGAGCTAAACAGCTGCTCCCTAAGCATGAGGTCATGAACAGATGAAACAAGTATTTAGCTTTAAAACAAGTGAAGGACTTACTGCTCACAAATGTGTCAATTGTTCCAAATTAGCTGTTGTGTGTCCACTCCTATTCCACAGGTGAACCTGAACTAGGGCACCTTACACTAAGTGATACAGTTGCTAAATTCCATTTACTAAAGAATGGAATGGACAAACAAAACAGTCATAACAAAACAATTTAAAAACCACAGTATGTCATCTTCCCTTTCCACCCGTGTAATCATTAGGTCTGACATTAGGACAATGATGTTCATACTAGCTATTGGCCGACTTACAGACTACAACATGTTAGTTCTCTATTTGTGGGGACACAGTATGTTTTTAATTTACATAATCTAAAAAACTATTTAAGTGTAATTTAGCTACAAAAATAGAAATATATCTATATTAAATTAAACCCCCCTAAAAGAAAAGCTTATTAGAACAATGAATATTGTACTTAACTACTACTTAATAATCTTGACTGTAAAAACCAATGTCAAAGTGTGTTAAACTCACAGAAACTGAATACATGTCACCTTAAACTATAATAGCACTATGATGACTAATTGTGACTGATACCTTTGGGGACAAAAGGCTTTATGGACCACCATGAACATTGTGCTTTTATCTAAACTGTTTCAGACAGTACTAGATTTTATATATTCCTTGAAGAAATCCATAAAACATACCAGTTCTTTTACTCTGCTCTTCTCTAAATTGAGGTCTAACTTGTTATCTGTACGAAGTTTGGTAACTTCATCCTAGAGAAAAATTTTGAAAGACATGAAAAAAACAGAACTGCATTCAAAGTTCACTTAGAATATATATGGTTCATTAATTTGCTCCCTATCAGAGACCAGAATCAGTGGATATTTATCTTGTTAAGCTGCATGAGTTCTCACAGCACATAAAGATGCATTAAACATGAAGATGGATGAAAACACTGACATTAGAAAGCAATCCAGAGCAAAGCAGTAAATCCCTGCATGGAGGCTTAGTACATTTCATACAATCCAAGTACAAATAATTGTGTTGGCTGGAGGACATGTATGGGTAGGTTACAGCAGAGGTAACTGTTTTATGAGATTTTATAGCAGCATATAAAAAAAAAAAAACTATTTCCAAAGATGACAGCAAGTATGTTCAACTGTTTAAAAGGAAAAGACACCTAAAAGCTCAAGGGCTCTTTTTTAGGACTTATATTTGTAGACCTACATGTCAGTTTCTTACTTCCTCAGCAGCTGGTACATGGCACTGCAGCTTTTCAATGATAGTTGCCATTTTACTGCAATTTCCCAGCAGGAAATCCAGTCAGCTGACAGTTACCATGAGATAAGGTGCTCACCAGATGAATGTGTGTATGTGAAGAAGACTGGTGAAGATTCCAAGAAATTCTACAATTAGAAACAAGCAAGGATTTTTTCAGGAGCCAGTGTTAGCTAATCAAAGTCTGTTGGCTTGATAAATACTTAACAACTGCTGTTACCAATTTTAAATTTGCTTAAATATAATATATGTAACATTTTACAATTAGATGAACTTACACTCCTTAATCTTTTTTTAACAAAGTCTATCACAAAACAATGTGTCACTTTCAGTGTTTTAGAAGGCAGAACAAACATAATAATGTGACTGCAATGTTACAGACTAAACCATTCCACAATAGAAGGGAAAAATATGTTTCACTTTTTTCTCAAATCCCTTTAAAATCTACCAGGTTGAGACCGTGATTTGTGAAAGATATAGTCTGAGTAACAGGAAATGACTATTCAACACAATTATTAGGACCATCTAAAAATAATTACAAATTTTAAATAGTGAAGTTATATTTGAGGAGTTAAACATTTTACAATTCATATAGAAAGATAAAGGATCAGCCCCCAAAAGCACGCAGTCTAGGTTTACCTATGATGACTGAGGATATCAAGATAAAAGGAAAGGGATAGAACGGACAGAAGTTAGAACAATATTACATGGTCTAAACATGTCAGTATCTTAATGGTTCAGTGCACAAACCCTGACTTCAGAAAGATAGGAATGGAATGCGCTCTTTCGTTTCAGCTGAGAGGAGCAATCTGATGAATATCTCAGGCCATGAACAGGTGTTACATTTGTGCCGGGAGAAAAATATCTGTATGTAGCTAGCTATTCACAAGATTTCTTGTGGAAAAGAAATGGCTCTTCTGCAATAAGTGATGTTGAGTACCTATGAGGAAGATTTTCCTCCTTCCGATCTAATGTAATCTAATATGAATGCTTGTATACTTCTCTCAGGTGTGAAGGACACTCGATATCCCAGTCTTTTGCTCTCCCTCCCTTCCTCCAAGGGAGAGAGTGAACACCCTGGGTCCCTGTTTGGGAGCCCTGTGGGGACCATGTCCTGAAAAATCACCCTCCTCCCAATCAATCAGCTGATAGCAGAAAACCTCCCAGAAGGGTTCCTGCTGTGACAGAATTCCCTTGCCTTGCTCTGCACTGCTCCAGGTCAGACCAAAGCTTGGCAGGGCGAGGCAGGCTGCTGTGCTGTATGACAAGGCTTGGGGAGCCTTGCTACTAGGGGTGTGCAAAGCGGGCCGTATTCAATTTGGATTCGGTCCAATTCGATTCGTTGATTTGGATCACTGTCCCGATTCAGCCGAATCCGAAGATTTGATTCCGATTCGGAGAATCAGTGATTTGGCCATAGACACAGCTTTAAATGCGTTTTCTACGTACTTCGAGGTTCCAGGCACAGCTCGTGAACACTGTGATGGTGGGGCGGATGGAGCGTCCCACAGGAGTGCACAGGGGTGTGGGGGTGGTGGTGTCGGGTCTTCTGCCGAGTGTGTGGGCCCCCCCCCAGCGATTGGCTGTGGGGGGACCCTGGGTGCCCCCCCAGACCCAGGAGGTACCAGTCACTGAGCCAGGGGGAGGGTCCCCCACGTGTTCCGTGGCAGACCTGTTACTGGACCGGAAATGCTCCTGGTCCACTTCCAGGTCCACCACTGAGCGTGCTGCAGACCCCACCGCATTCCTGTGGGATGCTCCATCCACCCCACCATCTCAGTGTTCATGAGCCGCCTGGTACCTTGAGGTATGTAGAAAAAACATTTAAAGCTGCATCTATGTCCGAATCATCGGATCTCTCTGAATTGATTTGGAGATTCGGCTGCTGAATCGAATCAGCGACTGAAACTTTGTACAGCCCTACTTGCCACCATGGTAGAATGCCCCCTGCCTCCCCCCGGCACTCCTTTGGGTCTGCTCAGAGGAAAGCAAGGAATACAGGTTATTTTCCTTTAGCTCCCTAGCTATTTTTCTACTGAAAAGAATTTCAGAGAAATTCTTACTGGTAGGAATGAATGCCTGTCCATGGCCTTAGCCTGAAAGCAGCTGACTTCATTAACATTGAAAACAACGGATGTTGGTGTCCATTCCAAAAGAGCATATTTTTGAAATTTTATTTGTGGAATGTTATTTATAAATAAAATTTGGATTCTATAAATATGGCAGAATAATCCATATACAATACAAAGAGACCTAGGAGCTGTGCTATTAAGTGCAAGAGACTGGAAAATTCATCAAAGGAGTTGGACTGGGAGGCTAGGAGACACCTCCATGTATTTCATTAGGATTACCCACTAAGGCAAAACATAACAGTATATTTGGTAATTTTATTTTTAATTGTAAATCTATATGTTTTAATTGAGATGCCAAAAAAAATGAGAACGTACCTCTCTCGATAAATTAGCAGAAGCACAAATGAGGAAGTTGATTGAAAATGATAGTCAAATCACAATGCTTCACTTGGTGATTTAAATCAATCCACTCCTGCCACCATGCCTCTAAATACTGACACACATGCACAGTATTCTTACCATTACTTGTTTCTTCAGCTGCTGGAGTTCAAGTTTAATTTTCTAAAAAAAAAAAAAGAAAGAAAGAAAGATTTAGAAATCTGCTGTAAAAGTACATATAATGACGTGGTCAAGGAATACTGGTGAATTTGTACAGTGGGTACTGACACTACTAATGCTCCATAAACAATGCCTATTTCTGGTTTCCTTCTAGTTTTAGAGATTGGCTACCTCCTCCTGAGATAATTCTTGCTCACTATAGGCTGTATGTTTTTAAACAGGGACAGAGATTAGTGTCCATTAATTACTTTTCAAAAAAATCTCTGACAAGCATGCATAACTGCACTTCCATCATTAATCCTTCCAAGAAATTTGGTCTTAATAATTCAGTTTTACTAGACCAGTGGTTTTCAACCTTTTTAGACTTAAGGAAAATACCACCTTTGAATTCTCTCTCGTTTTTAATACAGAAACATAATAGAGCAATTCTTCCATTGCAAGGATGTTTTAATCCAAAAGTTTGCTAAAAATGTTTTCCCCAACTATTTAAATTGGTCTAATAAAAGATATCAGATTCACCCAAAAGCTTTGTCTGCCAACAGGTAAAAATGCATTTATCACCATAGATTCCTATTTGAAAACTCTGGGCTAATCCTGCAAGTCATGTTTCTACATCTAACTGCACTAACACTGTGTAGCACCCCTGAAAGGATCTCAAGGCACCCCCAGTTAAGAACTGCACTAGATCATATTTCCAATTAACATTATGCAATTCAGGAGCATCAAGTAGACATCTAATTGTCTTATTAATTAACAGTAGCTGACATACTGATCAGACCAAAATCTTGTGTCCAAAAGTGACACATAATTGTTGCTTTATAGACTGAGTACAAGCAACAAGTCATGTGTAGTGATTCATTCCAGGTCAGACCCTTAATTACCTGAAATCACAGGGTCAAGCACACCTTAAGCTTGAGGTTACATCCTTGACTGTTGTTTAACAACTCCTTATGGACCTAGTCTTCAGACATTTGTTTAATCCCCTTTTGAACCTGGTTATAGTGTTGGCCACTATAACATTCTGTGGCACAAAGTTCCACATCTTGCTTATGTTGTGTAAAGACTCCAAGCTTTTCTTTGTTTTAAACCAGCTGCCTGTTGAAATCATCAGGTGCCTCCTAGTTCTTGTGTTGAGAGACAGTAAATAATAACTTTTCACTTTTTCCACACCACTCATGATGTTATACTCTTACATCATATGGTCCTAGGTAATCTCTTCCAAGCTGAAGAGTTCTAGCTGGCTCAGTCTCTCCTCTTATGGAAGTTGTTGTATAACCCTAATTATATTTATTGTACTTCTTGTTGTATATTTATGTGTACGTCTTCCAGTTCTGCTACATCCTCTTTCACACAATATCCCAAATATGGGAACACCATGGATTTATATAATGACATAATGAGGTTTTTAATTTTGTTTTGAACTCCTTTCCTAACAATTCCTAAAATTTTATTTGCCTCTCTCACTCACCATCACTCACACTGGGCCCATGCATTTAGAGAACTATTTAAGACTTTGGGATCTCTTTCCTGAGCAGTAGCAGGTAATTCAGAATCTATCACTATGTATATATTAGGGTTATTTTCCTCCATTAGAAAAAGTGAGCATTTATGTTTATTTTTTGCCTCCTGACTTTAACCAGTCTTCAGCCCCTGAGAGGACCTTTACTCAGATCCTAGGACAACTTAATTTCTGCAAAAGCCTCTGGTGAAGGATCACATAAAATGTTTTTGGGGAGGGAGGTGGTAGTGAAACCTCCCCTCCCTCCACCCCAGAATTATCCAGGTACAATAGACCCCCACATACTTGCTGACACGCTCAAAGAACCCCAGCACACTGGTGAGACACGATTTCCTTTGACAAAATCCACGTGGATTCTTCTCCAGATGCCACATTTATCCATAGAATTATTAATTCTATTTTTCTATTCTAAATCCTGGATTTTACCAGTTAGACTCCCTTCTATTCTCAGCTAACTGAAGTCTTTCCTAGAAGTGATCTAGGAAACTAAAGATTGATGTCCTACTGTCAACCCTTTAGTCCTCTGGCACAGAAGCTGGTTTAAGCTGCAAGTTGCATACTATTGCTAATAGTTCTCCAATTTTATATCCAAGTTGCTTCAGAACTCAGAATATCTTCTAGTTTTGATGATGCGTTACGGGTCAGTTTATCAATTTACTCTAAAATTTTTTATCACTGCCTCAATTTGAGACAATTCTTCATATCACCTGCTAGGAAGCCAGCTCTGGTGTTGGAACCTTCTCAACATTATCTACTTTAATGACCAACATAAACAATTTATTTAGCTTCTCTGCTATGGCTTCATCTTCCTTTGTGCATTTTCCCTCCCTCACCATCTAGCCAATGGCCTGCCTGATTCTCCAGCAGGCTTCCTACTTCTCAGGTATTTACAAAAATCAAAACGTTTAAAGACATAAAAGCTAGTAAGTCTTTTGTTTAACAATATTGAACACATTGGAGGGTTAAGGTTCTACCTCTTCACTGGACTAATTACATTTATTTGGACTGACCTACAGAAATAGAAAGAATAGTGATAGAATATATTTATAATTTAGGAAGAGGATGAGTGGATCTCTCTGTCATAACAAGAGTATTTAAATTTTTGTCCTAAGCCTAGAATGACTTCATAAGCCACAGACTCAATTAATGATTATCTAACTTTTGCATCAATATTTTTTGAATTATGTAAATGATTACTTCAGGTTATTGGGAGCTGGGGAAGGCAGGGAGGTGTACTGGCACAGTTGTATTCTCCTTTTATTCCTCCTCTATCCAAACATTAAAATCAACTGCATGGAAGGGGCAGCAGCATTTCTATTCAACCAATGTCATGGCTCATTATCATCTCTCTGGTTTCTGCTAATCTCTCCATTCCACAAACCATAACAACCCTCTCTCCTTTTCAGTCTTGAGATGCCAAAAAAAATCCACTCTTCAAACCATTCCTCCTTATGCAATTTTACTGTTTTTTAGCCATTCATGGTAATGTCTCTTCCATTTTACAACCCTGCAGACCTCTGGGTGTAGAAATGACTGACAGTGAAGTGTTGGGTACATTGTCAAGATGCTCAAGGCTAGATTTTGTTTTATGAATCTGAAGAAGAGATGGAAAACTATAACAACTACGGGACTAATAAAACAATACTTCGTATTTGATTATTTTTGTCTAGTTTGTTGGGTTTTTTAAACTTCATATATAATCTAGCAAATTAGTGCACATTCCAATAAAATTGTAGTAGTCTTTTGCTTCGATCTTAAACTGAATAAATAGTGCTGGTTCATTAGCATATTAGTAAACGTTCTAGTTTCTTTGTAACTGAAAGAAAATGTATGTTATTTTATATGTAATGATGCACCACACCATCTGCACCCCCCTTTTTTAAAATCCCAGATTGCCCATGTTGAAAGCTCTACAAGCAACACTTCTCACTGAATACTGTAACTACTTTACTTTTAGGTTTCCGCATTCCT